TAACGTCACATTGGATTGTTTATTGTTCATTTTTGTGTGCTGCAGGAAAATTCAGGAACATAAACTAATGATAAGTCTGGATCATGCACTACTTGAATCACCTTTGTATGATTCGCAGCATTGAAATGATTGATAGTTATTAATTAATTCCTTTTGAAGTATGGTGGCTAAATAAACTATTAAGGAATCGTCGAACCCATGAAACTGTCCAAATAATTTAGAAAGAAGTAGGTTTTCAATAAAAATCTAAAGGGATACGGCGCCATTGAATAATAAAATTAATCATTGTCCTTCTGACTATTTCTTACATGTAGACAACATTATAACTATTCTTGGTTTCAGTAGGGTTTGGGAAATTATTGTGCAAAAGAACGGGCTAAATTGCTGTCTTCTGCGAAATGAAAAAAGGATCTTTCAGAGAATTACGGAATGTAAAGTTGGCATACGGTCATGAGTCAGGACGTTGTTCATCGACATAAAAACCGAATTATGAGTAAAAAACGTAACAACAAACTTAGAAGGATCCTTTTCCCTGTTGTCCGTGGACTTCGTCAAATTTAAAGTTGTTCTTAAAATAGTTGTGGGTTGTCTTCTGTTTTTGGTGGGTCCAGTCAGACGCCATCGAAGTCTGCTCCTACATTTTACGTTTGCTCCTAATCTAACCAAAACCTTTAATATAAATTGGACATTCAGGCTCCTTTGCTAGTAAAATCACCTTGGCGACAAGGGTTGCCGGAAATAGATTTTTGCGAAAGCAAACACTTTTATAATAGGCCCGCTTTTTGCAGTGTGCCTTACTAAGATATTTCGAGGATAACCACTCACCCTTTGAAATTTTTGGCAGGGTCAGAGAAAAAATTGTGAACTTGTTTCGCTCATGGTCTTGCCTCAATGACAAACGTGCAGCTCAAACATAAGAATAAACGTATTTTGTTCAGTTTTAGACGCTTGTCGAAAATTATACTTAGTCTTGAAGCGTGGTCTGTAAATTTAAGGGCTTTATATACCTCATTAATATATTCTTACATATATTGCAGAAAATGTACGGATAATCCATGTTCCTTTTAAATTATGCAGTAGCTGAAAATAGTTGCAAAAAAGCATCTTTATAAATGTGTGAAAGGTAACTCACAATAAGCATCCCGTTTAAGTTTACGGTTACGTTCGCAATATTTTCGTGACCCTGAATTAGCTGCTTTATGCAGTTCAGTGACTGACGTATGCGACTACCATCATTTTTTATGATAAAAGTAGCGCAGCTTTGAAATCATACTTTTGCTTGTCCAGAGCGCATTTGCTTTTTTTATTTGGGTCGGGCATATTGATATCCTGCCCCAAAAAAGATACGCAGACCAAATTTTGATTTTCAAATACGTGACAACTGCTTTGAAAATTTTTATTATCATAATGGAGTCTCACGAACACAAAGACAACGGTTTGCTCTATAATGGAAGATAGAAAATGTATAGTTCTGGCAAAATTCGGGGACCTTTTCCTCTGGATTTATTGTTTTTCGTTAAAATGCCTCCCTAGAAATATATTGCACACAATAAAAATGAATTTTACACATAAACTAGGCTAAAAAGTAGAATTCGTGACGTCCGAACCATCCTGATATTTGGACTGGGAAAACAGTTAGGTGTACCCAAGCTATAAAAACAGTTATTAATTGCCTGCAAATTTACTTGAAGCATATAGCCGGATTGTAAATCATGCCTCCGGCTCCTTACACACTGGACGCCGGTTAAAAGTGGAAATGCGCGTAATGTCCAACAAAGTTATACGGACCGTTTGCACATGCCCCATAGGACCTCCTGACACCGACAAATGGACCTTCATACTGGGGGTGTAGTAGCTCACCAGTATGAAGGCACAGAAGCAAGTTATACTGTCAGTTGGTCTGCCCGATCCTTTTGTCTGAACCTTGGTAAGATCGAGCATCGTACTGTAGAGCCTCCGCCTACTGCATTCCATATACGCACACATACGTACTGACAATAGTTATCCCATAATTACCTGGGTCGACAAATACCACTGAAGTAAAGATAAGCAGAAGATTGATAGAAATAGCGCATGCAGATGCGATTGGAAGGATCCCTTTGATGTCCGATTGTATGAAGATAATGAGGAGTTAGATAGCGAGTAATATTGGAGGGATCGTTATTGCGCAGGTGCACGTGAGAGGGTGTGTTCAATGAAGATAATGATGGTGTCTTATTATTCAGGGACCACGTTCGACATGTAAACATACTGATGCACCTGTTGATGCTTACGGAGGCCAGTCATGGTTTTAGACTGACGCCGATTTTTAGGTGTTCCATTGGCAGGTTTAGGGTCCTGCCGACGTTTATCGGCGACCTCCTTCTATACGCTTGGTTTTGAGAATAAGTCAGTTTTGACGGTCTTTAACTATGCCTTCTGCTTCTATTTACTGTCTTCCAGTTTTTATTGTCAATTTAAAGGGATTTTGTAGACGTCTTGAAAGTATCCTTGTAGCATTGCTTGCTTTCGCCCTAATTGCATTCACACTTAGCGACGTCCTAACAAAGTATCCAATTCCGACTTTGTGTATCAGTGGTCTTGAGACTGTAACCATCCCAAAATGCATGGCGCTGTTTTAAAATTGCATGGACGCTAAGTTTTTTTATTCAAGACAGATTTCTTTCTCGACATTTACCCGCGATTATAATTAAGTCCACTACCAGCCCTGACTCACTATAAACCGCCCTATAAGCTGAAACTCAATTTTATGGTCACTGAAAACCGAGTGGTGGGTATTTAATGTAAATTTAATATGCATGCACCTTCTCAGAAGCGAATTCCGACTCTTTTTGAAGTCCGCGAACCCTTGGGGAATGTACAACAAGGACTAGAGGGCTTCGGCTGAGCATGTAAATTAAAAAAATGCCCTGGACCCTTTATCTTTTAAGAAACTCTCAGTGCGTTTTAGTTATCCTAATTTTTCAAGAGCCGCCAGTCATCACTTCTGCGTCTCTATCCATATACTTGTTTCAGCAGTTTATTTCTGTGTATGCCCTCATAACGATATTTTTGAGTTAAGATATAGGTTATGGAAACCGGATCTTATGGTCTTAGGAAGTATCCTGAGATCGAGGGCTAAAACGTAAAAAGGTGTCCGTTTTGCTCTAGGAGGCTTTCGTGAACCATGGGGCAATCAATTTGGAAACAGTTAGACTGAGTAAAACTGAAGTGGCTAACAGTATTGCTGACAAAACTCTGAAAAGTTAACAGGAAGCTCCACCGCGATCTAGATTGAAGATCTTATCTTGTCATCTCTAAGGCCGACATTAGAATTCAATTTTTGACATATTAGGGGCATGTGTCGTCCTCAGTGACCTTGAAACTCTTTAGCTGTCTGAGGGTCGGTAACGACTTGTGAATAATTATATCACACAATTGCATTTTCAACCTGTGCAGAACGAATCGGTTTGAATTATCTGAATCCAAGTGACTGAAATAATGCATTGGGTGTGACCTCATGATTAATTGAGCTCAACAATTGAAGCTCATTGGGTCTTTTGTCCTAAGGTCATCGGATAGGTGCGTTACTTCGTTCTAGCTGATTAACTTATGACCACTCTGTTAACAATGTTGGGAGATGCCCATAAAGTCTTCTTCAGTCGTCTTTTCGTTTAGTTGACTCACCAGCCACTGTGTCAGTTGAAAAATACTCCTATCATTTAAATTAAGATTGTAGTTGTTACTGTTCATTTGGAGTGAGTGACCGATCTTATGAAGTGTTGGCTGAAATTCTGAAATGCATTTTCCGTCAGGAGAGTTAACTAAGGGGCGGTTGTAATACGGATTATCTCGTGGTATAATCCTATAATATTTCGGACTTGTCAGTATGTGAGCTTTTGAATACCCTGCTTTTCAATCTTTTGTTGAAACCGTACTCGGCAAAAATTGACCGCTTATGTAGCCGGCATTTTTACAATTAATTTTCGATGGTCTTGCAGATTCAAAGATATTTAAGAGGAACCACGAAAGAAAGAGAATCACATCATCTTTGCATTTTATTCTCAACGAAGGAGTATAATTTGGTTTTGAAAAAGTTCCTAGTTATGAGATTATTTAAGACCGTGCAATGTCTATTCATATAGCATCTTACCTGTCCTTTTACCACTCCTCCTCATGAAATGAACAATCTAGTCCGCACCCATTGCAAAATTTTATAAACACTATATAATATCGTTTTAAAGACATAGCAGAATATGCGATTTTCTTTACGCGGAACGCATGCAGGTTGTAGAGTGAAATCATTTAACGCTAGTGCAACGGCTGATCAGTCTCAGAATTATTGGGCTATTAGAAAACGTTTTTCAAAACCAAATTGTACACCTTCTTCAGGCATAAAATATACAAATGACGTGATTCTCCATCAAATGACTGAGGAAAATTATATTTTCTTTCGTGGTTTCTCTTAAATATCTTTGAATCTGCAAGACCATCGAAAATCAATGGTAAAAATGCCGGCTACATAAGCGGTCAATTTTTGCCGAGTTCGGTTTCCACAGAAGATTGAAAAGCAGTGTATTCAAAAGCTGACATTCTGCCAAGTCCGAAATATTATAGGATTACACCACGAGATAATTCGTATTGCAACCGCCCCTTAGTTATCCCTCCTGACCGAAAACGCATTTCAGAATTTCAGCCAACACTTCATAAGATCGGTCACTCACTGTAAATGACTTGCATGCATCCACATTAAAGTCATAATCCATAAAAAGGTGTTTAACTACACAATCAGGAATCCCTAATGACAACCGGTTGTTAAGTGCGGACCGCTGTCATCATAGGCATCGATGCTCCCAATGCAAAATTATTTGATTAGCAATGCACATAGCTTTGATTGAATTTCTATCAATTCTGATTATATCCTGTGACTACTACTTTTTTCGCACGGCTGATTCTTCACTTCCTCCCTTTTAGGTTACGGCCACGTGACCCCACAGACTCAATATGGAAAACTTCTTACAATGCTCTACGCAGTCATAGGAATTCCTCTATTTTTCAGTTACCTTTCCACAAATGGTGATGCTATGGCCTCTGTTTTTCGCTTGGCCTACGCTCGAGGTTGTCGACCCTTCTTTCGCATGCTCAAACGTCGTCATCGACGCAAGTCAGAAACGCAAAAAACTAATTTAGCTCATTCTGTCCAGTCTATTGTCTCCTTAGTCAACTTGGAGGGGAACAGAAACAACGTTCGAACCAAAGTCAGCGTCAATGGCACTGGCAGCCCAACAGGCTCCAGAATGCATCGAGTAGTCTCCTTTAATACCCTTGGAGAGTTCTCAGGGAAGCAGCCGATTATACAACTACGTCGAAATCAGTCAAACCTGTCAGATTGCAAAACAAGGAGAGAGATAGCTGCTGGCAGTGAAAATGGCACGCAGACCATGCCCACTGTTTCTTCACTGAATGATATGCGGGCACAGCAACAACCGACTGGCTCTCTCAGTCGGTCAACAAGCCAACAAGACTACTCCAGCGTCTCAATCAGCAATCGGAGAAAAAAGAAGAAACTTCGAACAGGACTTCTGGAGACACGACCGTCAGGAAACAACCTAAACGGGAGCGGGGAAGTGGGAGAATTACGGCAGCAGCAGTATCCGAGGTCAGAGAGAAGTCGGCTGGCAGTGAATGACTGCATCACTGCGACAGAGGACGCCCTTCTTTCCTGTCCGCCTTCTCGAGGAGATTCTTTACAATCTCGGAAATTTCCCGGCACTGTCAGCAACGGTAGTCCAGTGCGCAAGTTGATTGTGCAACACACGTCCACCACTACAACTTCTGGAGCAGATGTGCAATCCCCCAGCCAGATAAACGTGCCTATCAGCCTAACCTTATGCATGATGACTATCTACATCCTAATTGGTGCTGTGGTCTTCTGCATTTGGGAATCTCGCGACTACGTCAAGTGGTCCTACTTCTGCTTTGTCACCCTTTCCACTATTGGATTTGGGGATATAGTGCCAGGTAAGCGTAACTTCTCATCCTAACTGATTGATCATTTGCGAAAATTGCAGTTTACCATCCACTATTTCATCGTTTGGCTGATTTATTTTACTTTTTTCAAGCAGATTTTAGTCAGTGTAATCTTCCTGTCACATCCTTGCTAGTTGCGTAACCCAGCATCTTTTAATTCATGAGTTATTTGGTCTGGAAACAGTGACCATTGGATAACCGCGTCGAGTGACAGTGGTTCACCCATAAATGTTTAGCCCTCAAATCACTCTCGTCGAGTTATTTACTGGCATTTTGCACTACGCATTTCACAAGGCAGTTAATGCACCCTTTCGTAGTCTTACCATTGTTCCTTCGCTTTCACGTCGTAAGAAACCTAGTCAGCCGTATAGTAAATTCTACCAAGCAGTCTTAAGCAGAATAAACTTTTGCCTAATTAAATTTCGGCCCTCGTTTTTTCGGTACCTGTCATCAATTTATCTGACAATGTTGGCGGACACCCTTCAGTTGAGATCTATTATCTTTGCCTGGAAAAGAGGAGAAGCCTTATTCTTAGTAGCACCTTTGGTAACTTGTGTATAACACGACCCGGGTGACGGATTGCAACGTAGAAGGGCAGGTCGAAGTAAAGGCGACCAAATAGAAAAAGCCGCCCAATGCAACAAATAGGCACGTCGTGCGCATATTTTTTTACAAATTAGTATACATACACGCGGCATACATGAGGAGGATCCCGGCATAAACTTTGACATCAGTTAACTCCGAAGGACTGCGACCAACGCATAGACACATCATGTTGTAAATTATCTGCGAGGATTTATACGCCGAGTAAGCCCCCCCTAATCAGCAAGTACACATGTTATGACTGCAATAAATGCGTGCTTGAGTGAATTCAGCAATCATCGGAGAAAGACGGATTTCTGAATTTTTGATTTCTGGCTGAGAAACTTCTGCATCCTTTTTTTCAGTCTTGGATTGCCTGACACAGTGAGAGATTCATTGAAAATGTTTTAAAATAGGGTTTTCATACCCATTCTCTTTCACAAATGGAAGCTAATGATCGAGATTGGGGTTTATATGCGACTGAGGAAGAAGAAGAAGAAGATTGAGTGCTTGAAACAATTGCATCTTTGTCTAAGTTTTTGGACTCGTGCCAGAGTCTATCGTCAGGGATAAAAGCAGTAACAGAACAGGCGACGGTTATAGATGGTATGTGACAATCAAAGATCAGCGACATAGGTTTTGAGGTAATCCTGTAGGTCTCTGTATAACGGCGCCAGGTCGATACATCGATTTAATTAGTTTTTATCCGAGTTTCAGACTTGGATCACCCCCTGGACCGCTACTACCTGATGTCTTCATGAGAAACTAGAAAAACCCCAGCTCTGCCCAATGATAAATAACCTTTATTCCTATGCTTGATATGTTGATGACATTTTAGCAATAGCGGATGAAAAGCCTGATTTGGACACCCTCTTGCATAAAGTGAGTCAGGCTCAGCCTGCGTTAACCTTCACTTTGGAAATAAGAGAACGGAGGGCGCCTCTTCTTTCTCGACGTCCTACGCCATCAAATGCCGGATAAAAGAATTAGTAGAAGTGTGTTTCGCAAAAAACCATGGACAGGGCAATGCACAAATTTCTATAAATTTGTTTCGCTAAGCCAGAAACAAAGTTTGATCCGCTGCCTCGCCAATCGAGCTAGGAGAAGATGCACTCCAGATAGACTTGAGAATGAGCTCGCCATTATACGAAACATTCTGAGGGAAAACGGCTACCCTGAAATTTTTATCAACACATATATGAAAGAACACCCCCCTAAATCTGATGTGCCGACGGCTGAGAAGAAGGAATTATTCCTCGCACTGCCACTTGGAGGGGATCCGGGCGGGATAGTGGCTTAAACGCTGCTATCGTACGCACACACCCAGACGCTAAGATAAGACTGATTTTCACAAGCACTTGGTTCCTTCGCCTTTAAGGCAAGGATAAACAGCCTTTTCAGACTTCTTCAATGTGCATCTATATCTTCACTTGCTCCTGTGTGACAGGTTATATTGGTCGAACAACTAGGCGTCCATCTAAGCGGACGCGAGAACACCATCCTGTGTGGCTAAATTACGGTGGGGGAAAGTTATCTGGAGTTGTGGCTCACTTGGTTGACAGTGGCCACCGGGTAGACGTCGACCAAGCATTCCGAATCATCTATAAAGTATCGGGGAGACGCTCGAAGTTCCTGCGTCAGCGAATACTTGCGACGGCAGGAGCAGTGGCCATACGGTT